CCAGAGCCGTTTATCCACGGGGGATGTGCAGAATCCGGCCCCGACTGCCAGCACCCATCAAATCCCGCTCGCCCAAAATCGCCAGCGCTCGCTCGCATCCTTCCCACCTCTGTCGCTCCCACCCACCTTCCCGGCAGCTCGGCTGTGGCCATCCCGCGCCGAGCACGGCGGAGCCGGGCCAGCCGCGAACAGCGGCCAGCGGCGATGCCGGGGCTGCAGCTCGCCGGCCTCCAGCAGACGGCAAAACACATCCTGGAGAGAAGCCGCAGCCTGCGCCAGCCCGAAACCACTCCTAGCATCTGCCAGTCCGAAGCAAAACCAGGATGGAGGGTGGCTCCTTCTCTGGTCTTGCCGTTCCTCACGGGCCAAATCCCTTTCTCCTTCCTCCGAGGAAACTTTCCAGCCAAACCCCAGTCACATGCAAGGGGTCACCAGCTGGAAATGCAAGAGATTAGCAAGAACTGGCCTTTTTTTTTCTTTTTTTTTTCTCTCTTTTCCCTCCCAAGAAGATGCAGGGTTTTCCTAGAAAAAATTCAATAAACACGGGGATCGAAGCCAGAGGAGAGAGAAGCCGCCGGTGTCCAAGTGCACGAGGAGATTAAATAGAAATATCAGAAAAAAGAGAACCAGAAGTTGCAAACAACAGCGTGAAACAGTCAAATCATTTCCTTTTCTTGCTGCAAAATCAAATCTGCTCGTGCAAGTTCCCCAACAGTGCTGTACAGGGCTCACCAGCCCTGGCCTGGGGTCCCCACAGAGATGTGGGCAAAGACAGGATGCCAACCTCTGCAGGAGGAGGACCACGGCCCTACTCCTTATACAGCCAACACGCTACACCCAGAGAAAACCACCAAAAGGGGAAAAAAAATAAATAAAATCCATTATTTAAAAAAAAAACCCTGATAGGAAAAGCTCTTGAGAACAAGACTCCCAGCCCAAATCAGTTCTGAAATATTCAAGACTAAAGCCACAGGACCGTCACCTTATACAAGAAAATAAGCAACAGAATACATCGGATTTAGAGATATCACCAAATAATTAGTTTTCATTAGTGGGATTCAACCTGAGAATCACTGTCAGCCGAAAGGCCCTGAAAACAGGCATGGGGAGGGTCTTGCGGGGGCCAGGCTTGGCCTTCCCACATCCTGCAGCCTGGCACCCACCTTGGAAGTTGGTTTCAAGCAGAGGGATGACACAAGCTATAAAAATCCAGGCTTGGAGACGTAAGTATGGTTGCTCCAGAGTTTAAAACAGATCTAAATAGATGTTTTCACTCCACAGGTGGGTTTTCAGTCCATGGGTGGGGCCGGGGACCAGGAGGATGCTGCGGTCACCACCGCAGTCCCCACTCTGGAAGACACCCAACAGAGATCTCCACGGGGACAACCCTTAAAATTAGTGTCAACAGACAGTTCCTCCTCTCTTATTTACACTGCAGAGCCCCCAGCCCCCGTCCTCGTGGGAGTTGGTGTCTCACTGTAGCATAAATCGTTGCCCAAGCAAGCAGCCCTCTAATGATGCTGATAATTAAGCACAGGGGTTAGATCCCATTCCATAGCATCTAACAATTCATTGCAGGAGTTCGTTACTGTGTCAGTAGGAGAAGGGTGGGAAGAGGAGACCTCATGCCTGCAGGACAGGCAGCACCAGAGATGGAGGAAGCATCTCCTGCGATGAGTCCGCTTACGAGTCCTCTGCTCCAGATACCAGCTCTTCCCAGGCTGGGATCCAGCACGTGGTACGGCGAGCTGCGGTGCAATGGGCACCACAATGCAACAGGAATCACAGTGCAATGGGAATTACAATTCAACAGGAACCAAAATACAGTGGGCACTGCAATGCAACGGGCACCGTGATGCAACAGGCACCACGATGCAATGGGAATCGCAATGGAACAGGCATCACAATTCAACAGGAATCACAACGCAACGTGCATCACGACACAACAGGAATTGCAATTCAGTGGGAACCACGATCCAATTCCAATGGGAACTACGATGCCACGGGATTCACAATGGAACAGGCATCATGATTCAACAAGAACCACGATGCAATGGGAACTGCAGTTCAATGGGAACCACGATGCAACGAGAAGCGCGATGGAACAGGCACCACGATGCAACGGGAACCGCGATGGAACAGGCACCACGATGCAACGGGAACCACGATGGAACAGGCACCACGATGCAACGGGAACCGCGATGGAACAGGCACCACGATGCAACGGGAACTGCGATGGAATAGGCACCACAATTCAACGGGAACCACAATGCAATGGGCACCACAATGGAACAGGCATCACAACTCAACAGGAACCATGACACAACGGGAACATGATGTGCTTTGCAGAATTGAAATGCAAGGGGACTGCAGCCGCCAGTCCCAGTGCATCCCCCCGCACGGCTGATCCCTGACCCCAGAGCTCCAGGCCAAGAGCCGTGACCAGTGTGGCTCCCCCGCCTGCTCCAGCCCCTTCACTAAGCAAAAGGAGAAGGTTCTCTGTGCACAGTTAAAATCATCAGCTCTTTCACCAATCCGGGCTTCTGCCCTGCCTGGGATGTCCGTCCCGTGTCACTCTGTAATGCCGCTCACCACAACAAGCCCCAGCAGAAGCAGCTGGCAAAGCCTGGGTAATCCCTCTGCTCCACCGCCAGCCTTTTCATCTCCAGGAGCGGTCAGAGGGAGAGCCCGGCAGAGAAAACAGGCAAATTCAGCAGGGCTTTCCCAAAAGCTCCGCTGCAAGACTTTAATTAGCTCATCTCACTAAGAGACAGAGACCGGAGTCACCGAGCAGCCCAGCACCAACCCACCAGCCATTGGCACTGCGTGGGCATCGCTGTTAACCCAACGAGGAAAGACACATCCCGTGCCCGATGTCCAGGCCGAGGAGCACAAAAAAGCCCCTGGAAAAAGCTTTTCCTTTGTTCTCAGCTCCCCAGAACAATAAAATCCCTGCAGCTCACCCTGTGAAAGACCTGACGTTGAAAGTCCTTTTTCTGCTGCCTTGGGGCAAGCATCCTCATCGAGCCCATCCCGTGGGAGAAGAGAGCTCCAGGCCCCATGATGGGGTGGGATGGGATTTATCCTGCACCAGGATGCCCGGATCCCGCTCCCGGCAGCTTTGTCCACACTGGCATTGGTCCCTCCTACCCCTTAGGGACCACCAGGCTAACAGAGCGCATCCGTCAACCGGTCGGAAGATGCTCAGGGACAGGCAAGCAAAAGCTCAGACCATGTAAATAAATCACCCTCAACCCGTGCCGCTGCGCGAGCGATACCGTCCCGAGCCGCTCACGGGGCACGTCCTCCCCTCCCCAGGGCCTCCAGAAGGATTTTCCCTTCCTTGTCGGCACCCGGGCGTTAATATCACACGTACCCATGGAAAGAAGCGCCCCGCACGCTATCGGGAGATGCCAGAAACTCTCTTGCCAGGGCTCGCAGGGTGGGCTCGCCCTCCTCGGGGTGACCGTGGGCAGGAGCGATGCCAGGGGCCGTTTTTTTTCCCGACGAGACGCAGAGGTTTGGGGTTTTGTTTCGTCGGGGATGGGGCGGCAGCAGCCAGAAGGGCATCGCAAGAGCGGGGGCTTTCCTCTCGCCGCTGCCCGCGCACGCTTGGCCACCTGGAAGCTCAACCACACTCAGGCACTAAATAATTACGTTAATTAGAAAAATATTAATTAAAAAAAAAAAAAGCCAACCAAGCCAACCGCAGAAATAAAGCCGCTTTCTCACTTTCCGTTGTGTGGCGCTTGTCGGGGCGTCGATGAGCGATGGCGGGGATGCAGC